TAAAGGACAACACATACATAAAATTAAAGTACAAAGGTACCACCTATTCCTATTGGAATTTCTTCCTGTGGACGTGGAGCAGGAAAAGTAAGAATAATATAATGACACAGTGTGTAGTAACAAATAGAAAATTGGGATAGGAAACAGACTTAAAACTAACAGATAAATAACCAAACAACTACATACAATATATAAATAAATACATACAAAATATAAACTATACATATAAATGAAGAAATTTACATATCAGGAGGAAAGGTAGTGTTCTCTCACTCGTTTTTTAAAGATAGCGATAGACTCAGCGTCCCGAATGTTAGGCGGGAGCGCATTCCACAGTCTCACTGCATGAACGGAAAAGGAGTAGGAATAAAAATCGGTATTATGGGGTTGGATTTTAAGATTAGATTTAAGGTGTGAACGAGATAGGACTTCAGGAGGACGAACCAAGGAGAAACGGTCCCGAAGGTAAGCAGGATAGGCAGGGTTGAAGAGGATGTTATATAGGAAGCATAAAATGCGAGTGTTCCTGCGAAGACGGATCGGAAGCCACTTGAGCCTATTGCGGAATACGGAAACATGGTCGTACTTTCTTAAACCAAAGACAAAGCGGATACAAACATTTTGCAATCGCTCAAGTTTATTTAAAAGCTCCTCTGTAGCATCCAAATAGCAAGCATCCGCGTAGTCAATCAGAGGCAGGATTAGCGCTTGGACGAGGTGAATCTTAGTCTTCACAGGCAACAGGGTCTGGAGGCGCCTCAGGGAATGAATGGAGAAATAAACCTTCCGACTAACCTCGTTCACCTGGACAGTCCAGGACAAATTTGAGTCGATATGCACTCCCAAGTTCTTTGCAGAATCAGTGAATGGAATCACAGTGCCATTCAGACGCAATGGAACAAGACCAGAGACGTCGAGAGCGTTACGATAATATCTGCTTCCGATAACCATGGCCTGAGACTTGAGAGGATTGATTTGCAGGCCAAAACATCTGGCCCACTCTGCAACTCCACCCAAGTCACGATTCATGGCATCGAAAGCAGAATGAGCTTCAGATATGTTGAAGTGACGGTATAACTGCAAGTCGTCTGCATAGAGATGGAAATTAGAAGAGATCACCCTGGCAACGGTGTTAATGAAGACGGAGAAAAGGACAGGAGCTCGTTGCTATCGGCAGTTTTGTTTTCGAGTAACAAGAAAAAACAGGTTTTTGTGCCCGGTAAGTAATTTTTTTCAATTTTCGAGATTTGGGTGCTATTGCTTACTGTTTATAGATTTCAGCGTGTCATGAATATATATCTACAATGTAATTATCCTTGTATCCTTTACAACACACAGTTTTTACTTAAATATTATAGTTTTTTTTAGAAATTGAATAACAGACAGCTTGGTGTGGGGTGGGAGATATTACCCTAGCGACGGTGGGAGGCTTTACCCAGGGTAATCTCTCCCTCTGTTTCCCTAGAACTTTACAGACAACCATTATTTTTTTTGTTTTATTTCAGCTAAGTATTCAAAAAGCAACCAGTAATTCCAAAAAGGTCCCAGCTTCATGGACATCGAACAATTGCGCAGGGATGGATTGGTTTAGAGGATTTATAAGAAGAAACAGAACTGAGTTTGAGAAAAAAAATGAAAATAACTAAACAGAAACAAAAAGGTAGAGCAATGAAAAAGTCTGCAAAAAGACAACTTTTACAGTCATGTGCCAGTGAGACAGACCTTGAAGACAAACCCAAATATGATGATAGCTCTGATAGTTCATGGAATGAAGTACATAATTATATCGATAATTGGTATTGTTTCATCTTTGGAGAAAACGAAGTTATGGATATGAGACTGCGCTTTTTGTGGTAAAAATGTCCATGAAAAATGCGTTGGACTGTTCAAAAATGAAAATAAGGAACAGTTCATTTGTCCTAATTGATCCATCTAATAAAGGAAGACTGATGATTATGAGTTTTTTTTCGAAGATTTTTTTTTGTTTTAAGTTTTTTTTTGGTCCTAGTTTTAAAAGTCTCTTTATTTTGCTGCCCTAACTTTAGGGTTTTACTAATTGTACCTTAGTTATTTTTTTAGTTCTAACACAGATAGAATAGTTTCAGACTGTTATGATTGCTACAAAGATACCTAGCCTATTTAAGTTAGTATTTTTCTCCATATTGATAAGATATTGTTAAATATTTAAGATAATTTGCTCCAAAAAGACTGTTTTCTTTATAAAATAACTGTTGGTTGAGAAAATTCTTAATTATATTGTTATAAACTATGTTAGAAAGATTTTCTAATAATAAATGTTTATAAACACTTACTGTGATATGAGATAAGTAGTTAATTCTTCACTACCCGTATGTCAAAGATACTCAACTATGTAACTCTTGTTTTCATTTACTACATTTTATTATGTGCTATGTTTTTTTCAATAAATTTATTTATATAATTATAATTAGTTGTTTTTATTTTGCCTAGTTTTAAACCCGGGTAATGTCTCCCTTCTTGACGGGGCAAGTCTCCCACCCAGGCGGGATATATTAGCCAAATCTCATTTCTGTAAAAATCGTTAATTACTTATAAAGTATTAATGATTTATTAAATTTTCTTTGGAAAAAATAAAGCTTAATAATGTTGCTTAGTGTACCATTTGTAGAAAATTGTGTTTTGTTAATATAAAGTGATTTATGAGCATTTTAGTCAAAGGGGGATAAACTCTCCCGGACTCCCCCTATTTAACGAGTTATGATGATATTGAGTTCTTTACGAGCACGGTCTTGATGCGCGCGGTGTTATTTGACCACTGGATTGGATATATGAACTGAATATTATGCCAATAATTAGTTGTTTAGTTCAGTTGTACCTATATCAGTAAAATTTCAGCTCAGTACATTGGATAATTAATGAGATAATACGATTAAAGTCATTAGGAAGTGAATTAGGTACCGTGGTAACCCGACCAACTATAGGTGGTTACAAAAAAGGGAAAACGCAGAACATTAACATCTTTTGAAATGCTCTCATCTAGACAACTAATTTTATAGCTAGTAATTATTTAAATACTCCCATTAGAAAGAAAAAGCGCGTACTGTTTCCAAAATTGATTGGACAAATCTTTCCTCAGGTTTCTTTCTTAAATACAAATATTTACCTTTCTTCCGAGAAGTTAAGAACCTGGGGATCTTCTTGGACAGTTCTCTCTCTTGGACAAAGCAGTTGGAGATGGTCAGTCGCAAGTTATTTGCTTCGGCGGGTGGCTCAGACGGTTTCGTAATTTCTTGCCCTATGCTACCAAAATTACACTTCCTCAATCTGTTCTTCTGCCTATTCTAGACTATCTGATGTCAGCTATCTTGATCTGTCACAGGAACAATTGGACAAGCTTGAGCGACTTAAAAATCTTTCCATCTGATTCATATTTGGCTTCGCAAATATGATCATGTCACTGAATTCCATAATAAACTCAAATGGCTTCCTCTTCGATTTCGCCGGAACTCTCATATTCTTTCCTTACTGTATAATATTCTTCTCAATCCTTCTACCCCATTTTACTTAAAAGAGCGTTTTCAGTTTCTCGTTGACACACATTCGAGGTCTCTGAGATCGTCGGAGAATCTTAAATTAAGTATACCTATACATTCCTCTTCCTTCTTCGATAAATCTTATACGGTTCAAGCGGCTCGATTGTGGAATGAATTGCCTATCGAGGTGAGGCGTGCCCAAACTTTGCGTCAGTTTAAACACCTTGTGAAGGACCACTTTCTCACATTATAAGCTTCTGTTTCTCCGTTCATTAATTGTACATACATACGCATACAAATACACATACACCACACAAACACACACACACATACACAAACACACACACACGAACACTCACTCACACATAGCTTTTGTATTTTTATATATTATTTATGTATTTCTTTTTTATTTATTTATTTATATTTAAGAACACTTAAACTATCATTACAGGGCATCATATTGTTAGTATATATATATTGCTAGTATATTATATCTATTGTAGGTTGTAATTTAGGTAATTTTATTTTGTCTTTTTTTTATATTTTATTGTACACTTAACAACCCCTTATCTGGTTTCTTATAAATATTTCCATCCAAAGGTTGTCTGGAAGAAATCACCATTGTGTGATAAGACCGCCCATTGTACGCATATTTACTTGAATTGTTTGTTTTAAGCTACTTAAATGTGTACAATAAAGCATATATAAATAAATAAAAAGGTCTGGCTGGGATAACGTTACCCAAGCAGGAAATGTTTTTGTGAAATAATTAAAAAACTATAAGCGCAACAAAAAAAAATGTGTGCAATTACAGAAGCCGCACAACTAATTATCTAAAAGATTCAAATGACCATTTTCGACAACATCTGGCCTGGGTAACGCACACCGGTTTGACATACTTCTCTTTGGGTTTGACTATTAAACAAATTCCATTCCATTCGAAAGTATGAAACCCATAGTCATAACTCCCGGGTTGCCACGTATAAACAGGTAAACAATTGATAGTAGCATCTTTTGCTGGTCTCATAATTCAATGAAATTTAAATAAAAATAAAGATTGTGATCACGGTGGTAGTGATCATTGTGATCACTGATTTCAATCAGTCTTAAATTACGGTTGTTGAATTTTGAATAGTGAAATATTGCCGCGAGTGAATATGTAGGTATGACTGAGAGGTCCCAAGCAACCGTCCCTTGCGTCAGAAGAGTGAGCATAAGCCCGCCCATTTAAAGAGCTAGTTTTCCTACTTTTTCCTTATTCTTGTTTATTTCTTATGTTCTTAAGTGACTTTTTCTTAATTTTTAATATGTTCAAATAAATTATATATCCTTTTATCCCGAAAACAACTTGTAAGTGGCGAGCAAGTTTCAATTCCCGAGTCGGCAAGACAATAACACGGCGACTAGATTTGTGTACGATGTCAATTGGACTTAAAGCGGGTAAAACATAAATGAGTGGGTGTTTGTTTTTTTAAATAAAAGGTATGATGTTGTAAGAATGTATTTATTACATAAAAATGATATTGTATACATTTTCGAACAGATACGAAAACAAGATACACATGCCAATACACAAGGCCTATGCCCAGCTAAGGCCTATGACTATGACAGACGGAGCCGTAAAATACATATCGAGATTCGACAAAAATGTATAATCAAATCACAATTATTTTAAAAAAGACCAATGAGAAGATATAATTTGAAATAACGTTTTACGTTACTGATGGACCAAATTAAAACATGGCTTATTTCATAACATTAAAACAATATTTTGGAACAAATCTATTCTCATTGTGTTAACACAAAAAGACTACTTATCGTCTATTCCTTGGTTTTATTATTACCATTTAACGTGACAGAGCTTGAGGTTTCACCGTTTAAAATATCACTTTTAATTTTATCACAAGCTTTGGCAATCTCGTCCTTCATAAGGAGATCAATCTTTGAAGGTAGTTCCTTCAAAATTTCTTCAGTCTTGTCTGCGGAAATTTGGGCTTCAGTTTGATTAGCTTTCTTCGTGACGTGGTCAGCAAACGTGGTTCTACCAGCGATCTTCGCAATTTCTGCCGCCAATTTGAGAAAATCTACCTTTTGAGATTTTGCTAGCACTTGTGCTGCTTGAGACAGATTGCCCATGACTATGTAGCTGAAAAAGGAAAATAAAACACTAGAACAAACACAGAACAGACGAGTAGTGGAAGATAAACTATTGAACTGGGGGTTAGATACTTTTTTTGTGAAATGAATCATAACTTATGGCTGGGGGACAATTAATTGAACTCCAAAAACATAATATACTGCTGGCTGAGGTGTGCGTTACCCATATTTATAGTTTTTTAATTATTTCACAAAAACAGCAGGAAATGTTTATGTGTAATAATTAAAAAACTATAAGCACAACAACAAAAATGTGCGCAACAATTACAGAAGCCGCACAACTAATTATCTATAACATTCAAATGACCATTTTCGACAACATCTGGCCTGGGTAACGCACACCTAGCTGAGCCATTAAAATATTTAATTGGAATATCGAAATGTACACTACCCATTAACATTTCAAAAGACCAGAGTCGGTCGGTCGTAATTTTATCATCTTCTTAACCTAAAGAACTTGAAAGGTTTAACTGTTAATGTTTTTATAATAACTATCGTGAGACACTAAATTAACTAAAAATCTTCCATGAGGAAGAACCCTCTGTAGTTCGAAACTAGTAGTAACTAGTAATAGTAGCGAGCTTTTCTCAGTATATTCACGTGAGTAACCCGCGATTTTTAATTACAACTGTTAATAAAATTTAAAAGTTTAAATAAATAATAATCATCATGGAAACTTACAGAAATGCCGACATATTCATTTGTCCGCTTTTCGAGAGTTCTTCAGCCCAATCGGCCACTATTTCGTCAGCTATGCTATCCATATATCTGCAAAATCATATAAAATGTTTCGTTTACAATTCTATCATTGCTAAAATCGTCTTTTTATGATTCTTCAATAAGTATTGACGATAAATTGATCATAAAAAACAGACTTTTTTAAGAAAACTTTCCCTCCACTTGGATTTTCTTCTGTATTGTGGGGTCCATTTACAAACATACAAGTTCACATACACATGACACCCAGACCCGACACAACAGTCTGTGGATCACACAAAGAGTTGTTCCATGTGGGAATTGACCCCGCGAAACTTTGCGCGGCAGCCAGTTGCCCAGCCACCGCACTAACCGTGCAATCGACTTTAAAAAGAAATCAATACTCATGATACTTTAACATTTTTTAACAGTTCATTTCATATTCACCTTAGCCGGCATAGTATATACGCCTCCTTGTATAGTTTTCCTTCACATAGAGTTTTGACAGCACCCATGACGTCATGCATGCTCAGCTGTAGGGCCGCTTTACGGAACTTCGAACCTCCGTAGTGCTTATTCTCTATAAAAAAAAAACAAAATTTAATGTGAAAATCTGGAACTTGGCATAGGACGCAACGTCCTTGGGTGTAGATTACAATTTGGAATAACGAATAAGTTCCTTGTTATCCCGGCAATATGAATGAAGCAGCTGGCAGAAACGGAAAATCACAATATTTATAGCATAAGTACGAGTACTTTTTCCAAACTAGTTTCCGTTATGATTATAATGTAATTACAAATACGGATCTTACCGAATATCCTCTCCTCCTCTCCTCTAGCCACCACTCGATCTATTTGCTTCAAATATAACTGGGTTGCATCTTTCCAATACCTAGAAAAATCAAAGTCATAATCGTTTATTACAATTGCACCAGAAAGCCACCTTTGAACTTGAATAAAAAAAAATTGAATCTCATTCCAAGGAGATTCCAAAGAGAAGAACGAGCAAGAAACTCCATAGGTTATTCTTTTGTTCAATCAGGTTCACAACACAATTATTTAGTTACATAATTTCGTGTATGAGAACAATCTAACACCAAAATCCACTTAAATCAACCATAAGAACAATAAAATCATAATACAGTTGGAGCTGACCAGTCCCAGTTGATGGCGCTCTTTCAAGAACACGACACGTACACCAGCACCGCCCAGCTCAACCAAATTATAGGGAATCGATGAAAGATAATGTTTTCTCAGTAATACATAAGATAGAATTTATATAGGTACGATTCTTAGAAAATATGTCAACGTTTTATTTCTGCCAGACTGGACCTATCGACCTATTTAAAATGGATTTTTTTAATATCTATTCATTAAAACCTGTTATAACTTACTTGAAAGACACGCAGGGCGCCATACTAAGTAGGAAGGGACAGAGCATATCGCGCTCACTGGCGAACTGTATCATGGAGTCGATGTGGCCGCGAATTATCGACAACATTATATATGCCTCCGGGTGATACACTTCTTCCAAGTGTCCGTGCACTAGAAAAAAAAACAAAGTAATTTACAGAAAGATCTAGAAATAACATAACAGAAATCTCATACTATTATATAAAGCGGAAGAGTTTGTTTTTTTGTTTGTTTGTTTGTTTGAACGCGCTAATCTCCGTAACTACAAGTCTGATTTGAATAATTATTTTTGTGTTGGATAGCGCATTTATCGAGGATGGCTATAGGTTATAAAACATCACGCTACGACCAATAGGAGCTGAGCAGAGCGTGTGAAACCGCGTGGAAGTAGCTAGTTTAATATAAATGCGAAAGTATGTGAGCTTTTGTATGTATGTTTGTTACTCAATCACGTCTAAACGGCTGAAGGGCTCGAGATGAAATTTGTAACAGGGGTTGATTTTCGTCTAGAATTACACTAACCAACTAATGGTCAGTAAATGTGATTCAGAATTTAACTAGAGAAAAGGGGTCATACTTTTGCTTATCTCTTTATGGAACATCTTCTAATTACGATATGATAAGAATCCGCTTAACCATTTCAAAGATCTAGCAAAACCAAAAACGTTACCCCAGCAAAATCTCGAATAGCTCCGCAACCGATGAAATAACAAATACAAAAAAGACACAACATTTATTTCATCTAGACAACTAATTTTGTAGCAAGTAATTATTTAAATATTAATTTGACTTGACCGTTATTCGAAGCTTATTTAATTGAGATAGGCCTTCCGCTTCCCTCCTTCCGCTTTTCCTGTATGTCTATCTCTTTCTACTACGTCACTTCCATTTGGCAGTGGTGGGGAGGCTTGCTAAGAGAGACTCGCCATTTTTATTTCATTGAGTCTCATTACCAGGCAGAGCTTGACTATAAGCTTCGAATAAGGTAAGTAAATTAATATGCGTTTTATTGGTAGGTAAAACGCTTCCATTAATTTGACTTGACCGTTATTCGAAGCTTATTTAATTGAGACGTGTTTGTTATCGCCTGGTGGAAGTGACAGACGCCAATGTGAGGTAGTATGACTGCGTTGACCGCAGTCGTACTACCTGGTATGATGTGGTAAAATCACAGAATAGAAAAACTAAGAAAAATAGCAAATATCTAAAAACATATACATGTTTTGATGAAAGGTATTGAATAGAAAACCTGTTATTTTTAATTTTTTCAATAATAATTGTATTTGATCTGAACAAAAACAGATGTTATATATTTCTGAGGTATTTTATTGCCTCGTTTCTAATTTTCTAATCGTCTGTATTGAATAAAAAGGTGACATACAAAGGCACACACATCTTAGAAAGGATCGCCTCAAAAGGATAACTATCCACTAAATTTTTTCAGATCACAGCTGATCTGAAACCCTCAGGATATCTTGGGGGATTACTGATATCTTAATATCGGTTACCACCAAGAAGGAACTTTATCCTGACCGCAATTA